CGGAAAATGTGGACAATTATACACTTTGCCCGGACATTGTACAGAATGACCAGAGCTCAGTGGGCAATCACAATTAATTAATTAAAAATGTATAAAACAATTTTTGTTGTTTTAATACTTTATTTTATGAGTATATTAACAAATTTTTTTATTTATTTTTACAATTTAAGCTATCATGGCATTTAGAAGTATATAGTTTACCTGCAGCCCTACACTTACATTTATATGTCTTACATTGGTGTTTACAGTTACACAGTACAGCAACTTCTTCTGTACGTTTGTGTGTTAATGGTTTAAATAAAACATACTTCGTTAGGTGATCTTGATAAACTAAAATAAATCGATAATTTCCATCAGGTTGAGCTTGCATGTCAATCAAATCTACTTGACAACGAGAATTAATTTCTGAAGAAATTATTGGTTTAACAACTAGCCTTTTTTTCACAGTTTTACCTGTTCTCTGACATGGTTCACATAAATTTAAATATATCATTAAATATTCCCTAGTAATGTTATTATATTTTGCGTTCAGTTCATGTTCCATTCGGTTTCTACCTCCATGTCCAGTTTGCAAATGGACATCATGAATTATTTTAAACAACTCATCATTATAAACATAATATTTGATAGTATTTGGATCAGTTACCCGTACAATTAATTTTTCAATATAACTTATATTCATTATATCATAGCGCTTCAATAATTTATAATCATTTGGTTTCAATTTTGCTCCATTTTTTAACCGTTTGACTTCTTCTAATACTTCGCTGTATTTTACTTCACTTAAAAATACATTATTCGAATTTTTTGTACTCAAAAGAACATTAAAATTTTCATAAAATTTTTAATCAGCCATTTTAAATATAAAAAAAATAAAAGTATTAAGAAAATTCAAAATAATAATATGTGAAAAAAATACAGCCGATCCGTACAATGGTATAATTTCAACTGATCTGAAATTTTATATTATATCTCCGGTCTTCAATGTTGTCGGCAAATCGTCTGATAAAATTATCATGCGGTAATAAGCTATTAATGATTATCCTTATTATACTCGTATTATTACAGATATCTAAACTATATAGGTATCGGCTGTTACAATACGTACAGTTATACCTAAAGTTAGATACCATCGTGGAGAAAATTTAATCGATAATCGTTATCTACGTTTTGTTGTAACGTTAAAGAAAAATTATACTTTATACATTCAGACACGGAATCGCGATAAACTTACATTGACCACAAACAATTAAGCACTGTTCACAATGCCCGGCTATTGTATTACAATGACCAAGCAATGTGCCCAAATTAAAAGCAGATTCAGTTTTGCCCAAATATGACGAGCATTGTGCACAATGCCCGAATTATACACTGACCGTAACATATATATATATAAAATCAGCTTATGTGGAACCAATAAACCACTATTACAATTTATGATTTAAGCATTATATTGACTAGTAATCATATAATATGATAAATTATTCAAGAAAAGAAAACATTCATTTATCTATAAAATATTTATTGTATTATTAATAGTGTATTTTATGATATCTATCAATTTTTAGTTATTATATTGAAAATATACAAACCCTTTTTTTATCAAACCTAATACTTCCCTCTAAGATTTTCGTTTTTCATTACGGTTTGAAAACTTATCTAACGATTTGTCCCATAAAATAGGTCTATTTTCAATAAGTAAAATTAAAAGCTCTATGTCTAGTTCTGTGTCTAACTGATTATTCTGTTCTACATCAATTTCAGATGTCAAATTGAGATGTCAATTTCACACTCTTCCTCTGACATGTTGATTGTTGATACTTAATAATGATGAATGAACGAATATTGAAAATAAAATACTAATCGATGGCGTATTTCATTAATGCGTGTGTTATCTATCTATCATTAACGTCCATTACCCTGCCCCCCCCCATCCAGAAATGTGTGATTTTTTTAATGCGAATAATTAGTACGTAATTTGTATGAATTTGTACGACCATTTTCAGAATTTGTACGGAGCTCGTTCACCTAGAAAAATTCATTTTTCGCGGGAGGGGCTGGAATAACGTTATTCCAGCCCCGCACACCAGGTTAGGTTAACTTTTAGAAATGATTCAAACTAGTATACAGTTTAGATATTTTAGAGTAGTAGATAATTATAACTATATTATTTATTAATTATAATTATTAATAATAATATATAATAATAAAATATGTTGATGAATGCTAAATGTTTATTTCACATAACTATAGGTACATAACTTTTCATTATCTTGTATACAGTAATAACTAATAAATAATAAAATGCTATTTGAAATACTGGCATTGAATTTAATGACGACGAATTTCAAGTGAAATATAATAAACCGCTATGCGGGTAGCGGTAAAATTCGAGCATGCAGCGGTTTCTGTAAAAACCACGTCGCGATATTATTACCGCACCCGATTTACCGCTACAGTGTGTGTTCTCTAATCACAATACATGGGTACAATTTTACCGCTACCGCTGCAGTGTGTGCGGACCTTAACTCCACAACGTTCATACGACTTTTCATTAAGAGTTATGTCTTTTGGAATATCACATAGTTTTATATCTAATGTATATCCTGCATAATTGCTGTGTTCAACATTTTCACCTGAAAAAAATATTAGGTATATTCAAAATATTGACCTATGATAAGTACAGTAGTTATTAAAAAGATAATCATACCTTTCCAAAACAGAATTTCAATGAAAATAAGCACTGGTGAAATCTTTGATACAATATTCTGAAATCTAGTGCAGTTTGATGAAGCGTTTTTGTTGTGCAGACATGCAAGTTTCTCCATGGAAAGACGTTTATTAATAAATTGCTGCATTTCTTGGATTTGACCGTTGGTAGTTTCAAATGTAATGTAGCTTATAGGACGTTGAATTACCGATGGATATTTCTCACAATTTTTATTTGAACATATGATTGATTCAATAATTGTTGGAAATTCCAACATCATTGTTTTGATAACCTTAATAGCCGTCGTGTCGCAGATAAAAAGTGTTACGTCATTTTGTAATACTAAAAAAAAAACTACAAACTGCACTAGATTTCAGAATATTGTATCAAAGATTTCACCAGTGCTTATTTTCATTGAAATTCTGTTTTGGAAAGGTATGATTATCTTTTTATTAACTTAAGTACTTATCGTAGGTCAACATTTTGAATATACCTAATATTTTTTCAGGTGTAAACGTTGAACACAGCAATGATGCAGGATATACATTAGATATAAATCTATGTGATATTCTAAAAAGCATAACTCATAATGAAAAGTCGTATGAACTTCGTGGAGTAATACATTTTCGCAGAGGGAATAATAATCTAAGAAATTTTGTAGGCCATTATACAACATACGTAAAAAGAAGTAATGAACATTGGGAGTTATTTGACGACTTAAAAAAAAACCAATACCGGTCAAAGAAACTACTAATGATTCATGTGAAATTATAATGTATTCGATATAAAAACTTGTCAGTAGAATATAAGTAATTACAAAAAATTTAAAATTAGAATTATGTAGCAAAAAAGGTGATTTTTCATTTTTTTTAATAATTAATATTCTTTTATTTTTATAAAATATGGGAATAAATAAATTGTATATATAATATGTAGTTATGCTTATTGTCATTTAAACTTATGGCACGATTTTTGAAGTGCAATATAACGTCAATGATCCTAGAAGAATTTACTGCTGGTTTTCTTCCTGATATCAATCAAATATCGTTGACGAATTATAATTTTATAGAATTATATTTCTAAAAATTTTTCAAAAGAGAAAAAAAAAATGAAACATATACAAAAATACTACCCCACTTCTAAGTTCCAAAAGTAAACACAATGCTGAAGAACTCAATGATTGAAATAAACTATTAGTTTATAAAATATTATATGTAATATACAAGTATATTATAAATACGAGTAAAATTATGTTTCTTAAGAAAATAAAAATAATTACTATTTTTATCCCACGCCATTGTTATCAAACTAATATATGTTTATAATAGAAATAGTGTGTTTGCCTTTGTATAAACAATAATAATAAAATTATGAATATAATGATGTAAGAGATTTTAAGCATACAGAATTCTTCTGAAAATATTTTTTATTTTGTTAATATAACACTTTACTTATTAGTAAAAGTGGTAAAATGGTTATATAAATTCATACAAATTACGTACTAATTATTCGCAAAATAAATTTTTATAAAACGTGTATTTTTTCTGGTGGGGGGGGGGCTAGAATAACGTTATTCTAGCCCCTCCCGCGAAAAACGAATTTTTCTAGGTGAACGAGCTCCGTACAAATTCATACAAATTACGTACTAATTATTCGCATTAAAAAAATCACACATTTCTGGATGGGGGGGGGGAGGATAATGGACGTCTATCATTATAATGTATTTCGACTGGGATTCCTCATCGCGCGGAAATTATACCACTCGGTAAATTTAAGGTGCACGCGACAGTTTTTGAAATGTCACGAGTTCATTTTACCGTGACTCTCGTGTGTTGTGCTCTATTCAATTTAATGTATTTTAACCAAACGCGTTGTAAATTTACGGCACGGTAAAATAACGCCCGAGTGTTGCCATTTTTCATAAATTACTAGGGGAGACTTAGCCCGGCCCCCGAAATATTTAGCCCTAGTTGAGCCACTGAAGACAACACAATTTTGATGCGGAATAGCATGCGTATGAAATCTATTTCTAAGTAATAATTAATCAAAAGTGTCGGTTCGCTCAAAAGAGTCGTTTTACGTAAGTGTTTTATAAGGGTAATTTAGTATATATTTCACTAATATTATAAATCATAAATTCATAATAAATTATCAGCTATCATAACGTGTTGGAAATTTTCATATATCGGCAAAACGTAGCTATCATACATGTACAAAATTTAAAATCATAATTTCATATTAAATTAATTGCTATTAATACGAGATAAATGGATATTCTCATCCATCAGCAAAACGTAGCTTATGATGTTTGGCGTATAAAAGGCGGTCGTGCATCTCTTACAGTCCTAATAGTTTCACGGTTTGCAGAAATTTAACCACTTCTAATACAGGTAATATATTACATAAATAAACATAATATATTTTTACAGCTATTTTAGTATTAACAATTTCTGTTTTCATAAACCTTTACGAATAAATAAATAAATAAAAAGCTAGTTTTATTATTCGATTTACAGAATTGTTTTAAGATAATATGTGACATAATATCGAATAATATTTAGTATTTTTAGATTACTTATTAATACCATTTTAATAATATGTTCTAGTTAAACCAAATACTAATTGATCGTGAATAATATCTATAAAAAAAATTAAAAAAACGGACAATGGCTTCAAAAGAATGTAAGTAAAATGCATTTCAGTTTGAATTTAAAACTTTTCCTCCATATCATTAAATATTTTGTTGCACTATACATTTCAGCAATCAAATTCCCGAACACTATTTTGCTTGGAACAGCATCCGGTGCATATCAAGTTGAAGGAGGATGGAATGATGATGGTAAGTCATGATAATTTGTATTATAGCAGGTTATAGCATTAAAGACTTAAAAAATAAATGTAAAACACATATTTCATTGTATATAGAAACTATAATATTATAATACAGACCGTTTTGATGTGATGGAAACTGAATATGATATTTAATTTTTATATAATTCCAAATATAATTTTTGTAATAGATTATTTTAATAAAAGCACATATAGTATTATAATGAAAATAAATGAATTGAAAAAGTTTAAACAGACTAGAAAATAATAAAAAATAATAATATAATTTTAAATCGTAATAAATTCTAAGAAAAACAGGTAAAACTTAATAAAGGTTTATTTTTTCTATATTTTATTCATTACTTTTGTGAAAAATCGTATAGATATGAACAAAGAAACATTGGGTGGTAATAAATGGTACTTAAAAAGATTTGTATGAGGTCGGTTTTGAATTTTTCTATATTTTACGAACACTAACTAGAAAGTTACAACAACAAAATAATAAAATTAACTACAGTGAAAAATGTATTCAATTTTAATATTTAGAAATCCGTTATAGAGATGCCTTCATAATAATTATAATTATTATGGGATGTTGACTGTATATTTTACACATCAAGCAAACTGCACGTCGATATTATAGACATAGCGGTGAAACAGAAAAAAATATAGTTGTATTATTATCTTACAGGCAAATCTCCAAACATTTGGGACGACCATTTCCACAACAAAAATATTAAGCGTGAGACTCACTTAATTTCCAAACCAAAGGGAAATAAGCACCCCGTCTTTTTCGGAGCGAACTTTTCTGGTAAAAACCATGACCACGAGACATATATCGTCAATGGAGACATCGCGTGCGATTCCTACCACAAGGTCGACGAAGACGTGAAGAATTTGGTTGAACTCGGAGTAAGTATACAAGATATTACGAGAACATTTTTTTTATTCTATTTATATTTATTAATGCACAATTGCAAAATATCTAATTTATATTTTATAAATTGCGTGATGAAAAATAGAAGTACAACTTTATGCTATAATTCTTTATAGATAAGGTAATAATATAGGTATTATGAATCTTACGAACACCGCATTTAAATGGTTTTGAATATATTTTTCGTCAACGCTAATCGACCGTGGATAATAATTACGACAATTAAAATATTCGCATAATATTTTCCAGGTGGACTTCTACAGGTTCTCCATAAGCTGGGCAAGAGTATTGCCCGTAGGAGATGATCGATTACCTAATGAAAAAGGAATAGAATATTACAAAACGTTGATTGACAAACTTGTAGAAAACAATATTCAACCAGTGGTAACTTATATATAACTATTTTATATTATATTATACTAATATAATAGAAATGATAATTGATTTATTTCCTGTTGAGAAACGGTCATGAACATCGAAAACTGCGCAATAATATAGACTCATAAAATAGTAAGATTTCCAAACTGAACTGTAAAATCAATTATAATAATAATATCAATAAGAAATTTCCAAAACTAAATCGATCGCGGGTACGATATATCGGTAATAAAATAAAGTACAGAAAATGAACCAATAAAACAAAATATAATTTTAACGATCAAATATGTTATGTATTATAATTTATGCTCCAGAAACGATTGCGATCTATTAGATTTTTCGAAATTATTACATAACTGATTCAATAAGATTCAGTGATATTATATAATTATCATTCTATAAAAGTAATTAGAAAATCCACGGATTTTCATGTAATGTAATTGCCATATATTAGAAAATCTGAACCATCTGACAGGAGTAAACGCATTAGAAATACATCCACGAGCAAATCGTATTATATTCAAACTGATTTTTTTTAAATATTACAAAACTTTATTCATCGTGAATAGTCTATAAAGAGATTCTCACTAAAAATAGTCATATATTACAATGGTTTAATACTTGAATATTATAGTAACCATTCATACATTTTGATTAGTTTTGCTTTCAGTTACGATTAGATCTGCAATTTCTTGTGAAGTTCGTCTTCTCTTAAATGTATTTTATATATACATAGTTTAGAACGAACGAAAACAAATCTTTATATTTTATTAACTATATTATATTTTTAAGTTTAATTTTTAATTTTTTATCAAAAATAATTTGCACTAATGCACATATGCATTGCTTTTTTTGAGGACTTTATTCATATTGTCAAAGGAATAAAAGTATAGGCTCCGTCAAGTAAATTTTAAGGAAGGGTGCATCATGTAAAGTATATACACTAATATCTAAATAATGTTTAAATTGTATAATCTAAATATTTGTGATATTTGTGAGTATGTTTTCAAATTGTATGAAGATCCATACTTATTTTAGTTTTTTCGATGGCTAAAAAGTCATTGGAGCTACTATAAAATCCGATAATGATAATAGTACACTCTAACCTACGTTTTAATTGTATAATTTTTTAAATTTTTTTTTTTTTTTAAAAGAGTGTTCGAATATACAATTGTGCAGTCATCTCGAGGCGCACACGAACAAAACCATTTTTAAGGTTTTATAGGTCATAATATTTTTAGTTCAATTTACGATGTTTAACTGACGTGCAAATGTGACACGCAAAGCACGTTAACATTTCCGTTATTTTTTTTTCAAATATTTTTATTTTCCGCCTAAACACATATTTGGATAACGAATTTTCAGGTAACGATGTACCACTGGGATCTTCCATCATACATCCAAGATTTTGGTGGATGGGCGAACCCGAACATAGTCACCTACTTTTCCAACTACGTAAACTTTCTATACAAAACATACGGTGACAAGGTGAGCAATACAGTCGTTCTATTAGTAAACCAGTGGCCATTATGCAATGTTCTCTGAGCGGAATAGACAATTAGACCGTAGGCTACCTACGTATATCTACTACAAAAAGTCGGAATTCAAGTAAAATCGGAAATATGCATAGAAATACAATTAGCATAAAGATATTTAATTGCAGCAAATGAAAATTGGCGAAAACATCTATTGTACATGATTCATGATCTTATATTAAAACAAAACATTGCTCTTGTGATGATGATTTAATCTTCTGAAATTGTTATAAAACACAATATGTTTGAGCATAGGTCTTTTAATTAATTTCAAAAATTCTATTAATAAAAATACATCGAATGTGAAAAAAGACTTCCAGGTCACGTATCGTATTGAGATGGGTGAATTGTATTGTTGTATTGATTTTTCAAGCTTAAAAAAAAATGACCATTTCTTACAAATAAATTGTATTTATTTTGAAAACCTGTAAACCGATAGTTTTGCTATATTCTTAAAATATTTTCTTTAATTTTTCTCAATTATTAAGAAAATTATAGGAGATTTTGTACAACGATATATATTTAATCCTGTTCAATCGATATCGTGTACACAATCTAAAAAATATTGCTTAAAAAAATAATAAGTGATTGTTTGTGATTAAGTTGAGGGGTCATGGTGAATATTTTAAGTGTTTAGTCATGTCCTCTCTGGTTTTCCTAATGTCTCAAAAAAACGTTGAGAAGTTAAAGAAAATGTCCCCTCTAATACACCAATTTAAATTAATTTCCTTCATTTTACTTTTTCTATCGCGATTACCGGAACTATTCTTCTGGTCGACATCGTGAGCATAAAATATAATAAAACACATATCAGGGTATAACCACTACGTTTCTTGTTTTGCCGAAAATCTAAATAAAAAAAGGATTAAAATAAAATGTACCCCTGACTCCGCTCATTGCACGATTAGCCAATCGTTTGTCTACTCACCCCACCTGGATGTATTCATGGGATGTGTATACAACAGGGTGTCATATCAATAGTACGTGTCTAACGTTATACCATCGTAACGAACAGGTGAAAATGTGGACCACGATCAACGAGCCCAGATTCGTCATTAAAGCATACGGGGATGAGCAAGTCGCGCCGGCACTCGGTTCCCAGTTCAGTGGCATAGTCGATTACATGGCCTTACGTAACGTATTGCTCGCCCACGCGGCCGCTTACAGGATCTACGAAAAATCGTACAAGGAGCAGCAGAAAGGTGAGGCGCTTCGTGAGACATTCGCATTTTTTTTCGTTACGATCTAATTTTCCGCGGTTGTGAATTGCGTCTGGGGGAAAAAAAAAATATACCGTTACGGAAATCGTCCCCGCGCTTGCGACTGGTATCGCGATTGACCATTAAAATAATTTATCTGTATGCCTGAAACTGTGTGTATAAAAGCAACTATCCGTATATTGATTGACGTTTATTGTGCACTTTTCAGGTGAGATCAGTTTGTGCTTGGACACTACGGCGTTCATACCGCATGATCCCGAACTCGAAGAACATCAAGAGGCCGTCAGGAAAGCATACGATTTCAACGTACTGTACACTACAATTATATACTATATACGCGATGCTAGATGGTTTGAGCAGGATATTCATTTAAATGTTATTTGTTCGCAGCTCGGTATTTTCACTCAGCCGTTGATCAGTGGTGAATTCCCGAAAAGGGTTATCGATTCCATAAACGAAGTGAACGCACGCGAAAATATAAACATTGAACGTCTCATTCCGTTTACGGAGGAAGAAAAGAAAGACATTATTGGTAAAATTGCTTTACGTAACTTTATATGTGAAAATAGTATATTGTGAAGTTCATTAATGTTTCAACAAAACTATGCCATAAATTCGAGAGTATTTGTGATGTACTAGATTGTGTAGTTACAGGAAAAAATGCATATCCATGGACAGTGGCGTAGCCAGGATTTTTAAATGGGAGGGGGGGGCTAACTACTTTTTTTGGATAAGTTAGGTAAGAGAGGATATGAGAATTCACCCTTAACCCCCCCACAATCTACCACCAAGTTTTTAAACGTAATTCAAGCATTTTAGTATAGTTTTAAAAATATTTATTAATATATAATTTATAATAATAATAATAATTTTGGTTTCAGTGTTCAGTCACTTGCTCCACTCTGACAGCTGCATTCTCTTAGGCGAGTTTCTGGCAAATTCAGTTATTATTTCACTTTCATCGAATTGCTCTTTTTTATTTATATTAGCCATAGCTAACCCAATCAGTCAGTTTTCCGATATGGTGCTTCTTAAAAAATTTTTTAAGCGATTAAGTGCTGAAAACGTTCTTTCCGAAGTGAAAGAGGTAACGTGGTGAATAATTGTAAAAGTATTTTAATGTTAGGTCGAAAATTGGTGCGATGAGAGAGTGAATCAAGAGCAGAATTCGGTTTTGGAATAGTATTTTGACTCCATTGTTGCCTCCATATGAACAGGTCAGCTCTGATTGTAGCTCTGATCAAGGAGATTTTGGACATATATTTTAGCAGCTTTTATAATATTTTTATCGTCATACATATTTAAATTGGCCGGAATAAGTCCTTCAAGTGCCATAACATCAATAAGCCATTGATTAAAACGAGCATTGATTCTATTAAATAGTCAAGATACATTATACATATAAACACGGCCCATGGGGGAGGCTATAGCCCCCTTAGCCCCCCCTTGGCTACGCCACTGTTCATGGATGGTCACTCTTAACTGTTTAAATTTTCTTAAAAAGTCAAAATATACATAACAATATCGTAATTGTTATTTATTTATTTACAGGTTCGTATGATTTCATATGTATCAATTACTATTTCTCCTACATATTAAGACCTATGAACGAAGATGAATATAGTGGTACAGAACTACAGAAAAAGGACACTGGATTGGTTGGCGCTATGAACGAAGACAACTTCAGCGACGTAAATATCAAAATATATAGAAGTATTTGATATATGTAATTTTATTAAATTTTTTTTTCAATTTTAGACATATAAGGGTTTCACTCAGGTGATCGACTGGTTTGTTGAACATTGTAACAATCCTAAGATTTTTATTACTGAAAATGGCCGTTATGAGGGACCTAACAAAGATGAATCTGAATTAAAAATAAGATATCATCGAGTGAGTACAAAAATGTTTATATTTCAACATGTGTTATGCATGTTAAATATCAAATACTTACTGGCTGTTATTGTATTGGACAGAGCAAATATATTTACTCCGTTCCATTATATTTGTGTGTTGTGAGATCGAACGGCTTATGGAAATGTGTTTTTGAATTTTATTTTTTTTTATCTTTGCAGGGCATTTTAACGGAACTCGACAAAGCCTTGAAGAATGGTGTTAATATTATTGGATACGGCGTTTGGTCGTTTATGGATTCATTGGAATGGTCATTTGGATATTTTGAGTAAATATTATTTAAACCTATTTTTTTTTTTTAAATTTTTATACATCGTTCACTGTATCTCTATTTCTGTTTTTTAGAAAACGTTATGGCATATTAAGCGTGGACTTCAATGACAAGGATAGACCTCGTTCTAAGAAGCCTTCATATGATTTCTTTGAGAAATTGTTCAAAGAAAGAACAGTAGAGGCTCTTGCTTACGAATAATATTAGTACACTTTTTAGGGGGATCAATTAAAATATTATTGTAAACATAATTAGGGCAGTAGATACAATATTAGTTCAATCTCGATTGGCAAAAGAACATATACAAAAATAAATGCAGGGCTTATCTAACTGAACGTTACAACGTGTTGTCATTTCTCCATCTCAATTGATTAATACCCTTCAATAACTCTTTCAATTGTTCAAAAACAAATTCCACTTCCAGGTAAATATTTTGTGATATAACGGTTAAATAGTAATTTTATTCGTATGTATGTGTCTAAATATAAAAAAAAAATTGTTTTTCCTTGAAACTTAAAATATTGTAATTTAATGTTAATGTTAACCATATTATATATTCAATCAAGTCAGTAACATATTTTGTAACAATATAGTAATACTCTATAGTCGAATTTCGAGTTTTTCTTTTTTACCCTTTCCAAACGATTATTTTATATAGAACAGTATGCGTAACATAAAAATATATCTTGTGTAACTTCGATGTTTCAAGACAATTTTAATAGACAAAGATATTGGTTACAATGTAATACCTATACTGTATAACCACTGAATCTTAATCCACGACTTCGTGCGAGTCCATATACAATGACATGACCGTAATGGATGATGGGCGACATTTTTATGAGTATGTTTATTAATTCCAAAATGAATTCTTTATCTATTTCAACTCTTTGATTTAAAAATTATAGCGTTTACCGTTTGAACAAAGAAAAAACTCATTATTTTCGTTTAAAACACGATGTAAAATTATTGCAATTGTATATTGTATATATTAGGGTGGTCCTTAGTTATAGAGGTTAAAAAGAAATTGAAAAATTTATACTCATGGGCTCGAAATTTTGTTTGGTATATTGATAAGATAATTTTGGTAAAATTTGAATTTGATAAGTCAACCCCTTCACGTGCCTCAAAGGGGTTAAAGTTGTAAGATAAGGGAGTGAATTATACATTTTTACCTCTAATGTCTTAAATTCTAAATTTAGATTATACATGTATAGGACTATTTTTATAATAATGAATATTTACTACAAAAAAGGTATCTTGTAAATTTTTTGTAAAATTAAGAAAAACCAGTCAATATTTTTGGAAAATGGTTCGTTTTTTAGTTATTTATCTGTATTTCCTTAAATTTTATAGCTACACAAAAATTGTAAATTAGCAATATTATTCCACACAATATTATCTATAAAAAAGAAGTTATCATTTTTTTTGGTACATTAACCCTATTGTAAATAATCAAGAAAAATCTTAAAAGTATAGGTTTTTACAACTTTTTATTTATTAAAATATGTTAATTTTTTAAATATTGTATTCATGTTACACAATACATTAATCAAATTTAATTTTAAGTTTATTCATTAAATATTAAAAAATAATATTAATGATGTATTATTAATAGGCATAAGTTTTCTTTAAAATCTCACGGCTAAACCCTGGATATTATTGAACAACCTAAAAAAGTTACATGTATTTATATTATTTGATATAGGTAAAATATCACAAGATTATATAAATATTTCATACTTGTAAAATAAATTGTTTTTGATCTTAATTTTTAGTGAATTTTTCATTATATTCCTACATCAATTTTACTCCACGTTCAGCTGTATCGTTAACGACTTTTAGTGCAGATAATATTTCTTTAGCTTGTATATACTCATCCAAGGCTTTCCATGTGCTTGGATCTTCTCGTAAAAAATTAAAAGATATTTTAAATCGTTGAAATAATTTCCATGATTTATTATTAAGCAGGGCAAATGGAAGATCTTGATTAACAAAATTTGATACATCGTCAAATTGTACGTTAATTTTTTTATTTGAACCTTCATTTTCTTCTTCGTTTATATTTTCTTCGTATCCTTGCAAAATTTTATTTGCCTTTCGATGTTTAGTATTGTAGTCAACTAGGTCATCAAATAATGAAAACACAGCACATTCTTCATTCAAATACCACAATTGGTTTATGAATTTTTTTAATGCGACTTCTCCCAATTTATTATTGTTATAATTCAATAACTTTTTTAAAAACATAATATCATTTATAGGAGCGGTAATAATATCTGGAGCCGAAATCTACACTTGAATATAACATTCAACTATAAAACTACATATATCTTCCAATGACTTTTTTTCTTTTGTTGAAATTTGAAATTGATCACAAAACATTAAAATTTTATAAGAGTATATAGCTTTTGACATCCATCGAGATAAGTGATAAGCACCTGGCTGACGAAATCGTATACCATTTGGAGGTATTCCTCCTAAAAATACTAAAACTAGCTGTATAAACTCCTTATAATCATCTCTCGGAAAGTGATTATTAAGTTTGTCTACACAAAATAAAATAATTTCATCTGCAACAGCTTTTAAATTTTTATTTAAACTAGGAAATGTTAAAAATATCCTAAAGTTATTTAAATCTAAATTTTTCCAATTATTTTTGAAACGCTTAAATAGATGTATGTCTGGACCAGTTTTAACAGTAATTCTGGTATAAATAAAAATTGCTTGTAGGACAATCTCAAAAATATGATGGCGGCACGCAAAAAATAAAATATTAAGATTTAATAATTGTTCTAAAAGAACACATGATCCGTTTAATCGACCGCTGTTAGACGCGGTAGTATCGAATACAAACGCCTGGACTTTATCTTCCAGACACCATTCTTGTAATGTGTTGTGCACAGAAGAATAAATATCTTTTCAAGTACCTGAGATCAATGGAGGGATTCCTAAAAGTTTTTCTACATTTGGTGCCGTAACAATTATAGGAAGTCGTTCTACATTTTTTCTGTTTAATAAATCTGGAAGTAATTTGGAGTCCCAGTGTAATATAACAAAATTTAAGTCAAGATTTAAAAAGTTAGTTTTAATTGTTTCCGATGTTTGTTTACGTATATTTTCTTGAGCTTTTTTTTATACTTGTCCTATTTATCAAAAATTCAGAACAATTTACCTGGAAATATTCTGCTACTGCTGTTAATAAATGTACAGTATCCTGATCACTGATTTTACATTTATCAAGAACTGCTGCTAAACGAGGTGTTATAATGTTTTATTTTGCACGCGTTGGTTTTTGAAGGCCTAGGAATATCATATATGTCAACGGTTTCCTCTATATCTATATCTGTATCTATATCTTCGCACTCGGAATTTGAACTGCTAAAATCCTGAACTTCGTCTAAAACTAAAATAGTTTGAATAAAATGGTTGTCAATACATAAAATACCGCCGTATGTATATTATATTATAATTAAAAATTACCTGTGAAATTTTCTGTTTCATTCTGCTGTATATTTTTTCTTTTTTCTTCTTCTTCTTGTCGACAAATTTTACGATTTTCGACACCCGTCAATTTCATATCTATACCAAGCATACACCCTGGACGTCCTTTTTGCCGTTGTTTTAATAAAAACTGTTTATCTTCTTCAATTTTTATTGTATTCAAAGCGTTCGCATGAGCAATATCAAAATATCGTCTAATTCTTCTAAAAATATTTTATTACGTTTTTCTTGTGTGTCTGTTTTTCTTGATTTATTTTTATCCAATGATCTCCAATACTCATATAACTTTTTTAATTTAGTCGCACAGTCGGAAGAATACTGCGTAGGAATACGCGCTTTTCTCCAAAAAACCATATATTCATCGATCACCAGATGTGAACTTTCGTTTAAATTTAATTTGACGAATCACATATTGTAAAATAAAACACTTAGGCAATCTCTTTTTTTATGGTAATTTAGAGCCAGTAATTTGGTTTTTCATAGTTCCAATTAAAAATAATTGTTGTCTAGGCATTTTATTATTATTTTATAAATTATTCTTAAAGTTAAACGTAAATAAAATAATATGTAAATAATCCAACTATTAAGTACACACGGATAATATGAAGGAAAGAAACCAACTAAATCTATTTCAACTTATTATTTGAACTTTATTTAATTATCTGTTTTATAATGTAGGTAGTATAATAATAAAATATAATATTATCTACACAAAGGCAATAACAAAACATTATCTATACTTTTCAATTCTAAAGTTTATTATCTTAAATCTATATTTTATAATTATCAAAATTATATAATTAGGTATATGTTTAGTGTGATTCGTGTTTAATAAAACTGCATTAAATAATGATGACTTTGAAAAAGGGAAACCATAACATTTTTAAATATAAAAGTATTGGATGGATAATATTGTGTGGAAAAATATTGCTAATTTACAATTTTTGTGTAGCTATGAAATTTAAGGAAATACAGATAAATAACTAAAAAACGAACCATTTTCCAAAAAAAATTGACTTTGACTGGTTTTTCTTAATTTTACGAAAAAGTATTAATTTTACAAAATATTTATAAGATACCTTTTTTTGTAGTAAATATTCATAATTATAAAAATAATCCTATACATGTATGGTCTAAATTTAGAATTTAAGACATTACAGGTGAAAATGTATAATTCACCCTCTTATCATACAACTTTAACCCCATTGAGGCACGAAAGGGGTTGACTTATCAAATTCAAATTTTACCAAAATTTTCTTGTCAATATACCAAACGAAATTTCGAGCCCATGACATAACATTAATGAAGTTCATAAATAAGGACTACCCTAGTGTATATATAAAAACATGATTTTACCTTTTATAATTATTTGAATCCTATATATATGATTCAATGTTATGACAGTTGTTTTTTCCTTTATTTTTTATTTATTTATTTTGTTATGAACAATATCGAGGTCATATTTTTTAAGCTGAAATAATAACTTCAAACATTTTTTCCCATACTGTCATTCGATTGAACTAGTACTTTGAAAATGCTATTTTCTGAATATACTATTTGTATTCCAAAACGTAAAAAAAAAACCTATTTATAAACTACGAAAAATCATTGTAATCAAAGCACGCCTGTTTTTTACAGAATTTTAGTTGAAATGTTTATTGAATAAGTATTTTATGAATACAACTCAAATAACTCAATTATAAAAAGTTTTACAATTTTTATAATAATTTAGAATTATTTTGATTTTTGGGTAATTCATTCATTCTATTTGAAACTGTATTCTAATACTCAAATCAGTACCATTCACTTATATACATGAACCCCTAGCAGAACTCGACTCCGACCATGCCCCGGTTAAAATAACAATAAATTCATCTCATCAAATATACCAGAAAAATAACTCATTAATTAAAGGCAAACCGGATTGGATTAAATTAAAAAAACAGTATGCATTCAAGTCTAAAATACCTATAACTATTTTTACAATTCAAA